AGGTTTTACTGTATTCCGCTTCCACCCTCATGACCTGAAATTGTGACGCGAAGGACCCTGGGCGACTCAAGCCAAGGCGGTAGTTCCAACAGTTTTTCGCCTCCATCTTATGCTCACTTGCAGTGGGCAGTCGCCCTTGGCGGAAACTGCTCTCCTTACGCATGCATTGCACAGGACACAGCACAATTGCAATGTCACATTGTGATGACTGGGTGTGTTGGCCAGTGCATTTTTGAACATGACCAGTAAAGCCATGACTGTCAACAGGGCTGATACGCATTGTAACTAAACAATAGGCGTGACTGCCGGGTGAGCATTGGACTCTGGAAAAGTACGTAAATAATTTCATTAAACAAGGCAGAACAACAGACACCAAAAAGCTTTCTCGTAACTCCGAGTTTCGTGTTTCAAAAAACACTCATCAGGCTAGTTACATGTACATTGTACATGTATATAGGGCAATTATAATGTTAAATGTAGGCTAAAGCAGTGCTACAACCACGACACGTGAGGCGATAACACCGGCACTGGAATACACTGTGACTCTAAATTGCATTAAACAGGTATTCACATGCCCGTCTCTTACTCTGTATGTAATTTACTAAACATGGTAAAAATTCACCTAGGATTGCCAGTAAAAAGGCAACGCCTGTTGGGACTCCCCTAGTAAAATAATAAAATCTACTACTACTACTACTACTACATGTATGTACAGTGTACATGTAAGTATACTTGCACACGTACATCTACAGTACAATGTACGTCACGAGTCGATGGTGATCACTGCACACTGCAGCCAACAACAACAATCACATGCAATCAAGGAAACCTGACTTCAGAGTGATGGTGAGCGTCGAGTTTGCTGGAGAAATGTCAAGACATGTAGTGTCAAGACAAAAAAAAAACAGCACACCCGCTGTGAAAGGAATGCATGTAAAACGATAGTAGTGCAGCTAGTTCTGCAATATAATTCAATTATTTCTAAGGTCGAAGTGTAGGTACATGTACACGTATATTTAAACCTCGTATGCATTCTTTCCAGCCTTCCGTCTTCGGGAACGAATGCATGTTTCTCAGCTATATGTTCACATCAAGTTAGTCAGAAAGTTTGAGTTACACACGGCCAGCAGCACTGAGCCTTTACTCTCTGTACCATGTGTATTGCGACAGGCATTTAGTCCCAACTCCAGCACAGTCATGCACTCTGTTGTGGCGACTCCACTCGCCACGCCAGCCAGCAACACGACTCCAAGGTGTTCTATTATAATGGCATGTACATGTACATTCTCCATTTTTTTAATTTCTCTACTGTAAAACCTGTCAAGGCGACCAATCGGATAGGGCGACCACCTGTCGAAGAAGACCACTGAAACCAGGATGCTATTTCCAGTCAAATGACCCTCGATAAGGAGACCACCTGGTAACAGAGACCATATTTTGAAGGTCCCTTGAGTGGTCGTCTTAGACAGGTTTCACTGTACCTATATTGAAGTGATTTGTGTGATTGAAAAAGCTGCATGGAGGAATTCTACATCATACATGTAACTTGGTATACTCAATCTGCGGACAGCATGCTGTTTCGTTCTTTTTGAACTCATCAGCGCAGCACAGAGGAAATGAGGCCGAACCTGATAGCAATGGAAATAAAAATTTCCAATCAGGCCCGAACGTGCCTTGCCAGAGTGCTCAAACTGACAAGTCAGTGAGCTCTGCATAACGCAAACAGCAAAGGCACTACCCCACGCAACAGTGCTCAACTGCTACAAGAGCAGGAGCGAAATACTCAATCTGCGGACAGCATGCTGTTTCGTTCTTTTTGAACTCATCAGCGCAGCACAGAGGAAATGAGGCCGAACCTGATAGCAATGGAAATAAAAACTTCCAATCAGGCCCGAACGTACCTTGCCAGAGTGCTCAAACTGACAAGTCAGTGAGCTCTGCATAACGCAAACAGCAAAGGCACTCCGTATGATGTCTACTGAAATTGTTCTCCGCAAATATCATCTCTATTCTTTTGAACAGCGCACAAATCTTAAACTCTATGTTTTCGTGTACCGCTGCTTGACCCCACATCTTGCTAGTCCCCTTCTCCAATCCTTGTTCCAGCTTAGGGCTGCTGTGCCTGGACACCAGGCTCGCACGCGCGGCCAGGCACAGCGCGCATTAGTTCTTCCGCCTGTTTCTACGCAATATGGCATGCGTTCTATTTCTTTCCTGGCGGCAGACAGATGGAATGCTCTTCCCACTGACTGCCGTCAGGCCCCGTCTCTTACTCTGTATGTAAACATGGTAAAAATTCACCTAGGGTTCCCAGTAAAAAGGCAACGCCTGTTGGGACTCCCCTAGTAAAATAATAAAATCTACTACTACTACTACTACTACCCCACGCAAGAGTGCTCAACTGCTACAACAGAGCAGGAGCGAAATACTCAATCTGCGGACAGCATGCTGTTTCGTTCTTTTTGAACTCATCAGCGCAGCACAGAGGAAATGAGGCCGAACCTGATAGCAATGGAAATAAAAATTTCCAATCAGGCCCGAACGTGCCTTGCCAGAGTGCTCAAACTGACAAGTCAGTGAGCTCTGCATAACGCAAACAGCAAAGGCACTACCCCACGCAAGAGTGCTCAACTGCTACAAGAGCAGGAGCGAAATGGAATACATTATCTACTCTAACTTCGAGTCGTTTTGCGGGCTCATGTGCTGAATGAGATCGGCCGGAGAGCGCATGTTGTAGCACTTCGACTACATCATGATGAACATGCATAACCTGCTTACCCTCCCGTGCCTTACTCTTTAATAAACATAGCAAAAATGTATTTGGTAAGTGTTCTATTTTTAAAGGAAATGACCAAAATGTAACATGTTATCTGTAGTTTGTGTCCAACACTAACACTAACAGTTATAAGTAAGATGTTGTGTAGTCAGAAGGTGCAAATAAATAATATATTTCACGGTTTGCGTGAGACTCGGCTGGAAGGCGAGTTTACCGGAACCGCCGTGGGAAGGTGCAACAGCTAGCACAATACTGACTGATGTGATGCTGACATTCAACGACCTAATGATCGGGTAATAAGTGTTCTATCTTCAGGAAAGCATGTTTGTTGTTTACTTCGCACAAGCTGTTCATAGCAGGGAGTAGTACAATACCCGATATTTTACTACTCACTGGTTCATAGTGATGTTTCTATTGACAAGGATCATTTGGGTCTTGAATTCGATTTGATGTAAATACATTATGTGTACATGGAGACGTCGAGCTTAGTAAACAGGCCATCAACTGTGTTGTGTCTTTGTTCTTAAGTGTTGGCACAGGACTACATACAACGTTAGGTGCTAATTGACGCCTGAGCTTTCTCATGCCAATCCAAGAGGCGAGATCAAGTGTTTGGACAGCAGCAACATTTCTGGCTCTGGCTTGACAGATGCATTATGCTAATGCAAAGGTAGACAATAGTTTAGTAAAGACACTGACCCTCATACACTTGCTGCGCGCCACAATGCAGCCAAAGTTTCAAAAGGCCAGTGGGGTGGTCTGGGCAAGTCGAAACGAGAATGACACGTACGCGAGATATAGCAGTTTCCGGTTGTGTGCATGATAGCTCTGTCGCGGTTATTACCAGTAGTGATGTAATGTCCTTCAGCACTGTTTCCTACCGCTTCAAAATGCTCGATATCAACATCTTCCGGTTGTTCTTCATGTAGACTAGGCCTCGACCAAATATGCTTGCGCATATTTCGGCATATTTTGTGAGACAGTTCATATATGGCATATTGAGCGACAAAGGGAATATTGGAATGAAGCCAGCATATAATTCAAATATTCTGGCAAAAATGAGGACAAAACATTCATATTATGGGCAAAATGCGTTCAGAAATGCCTTTTATGGATGGATTTGGAATGGTTGAGGCGTTTGCTACATTCCCCATGGATGAACACTATCACTACGGTTGCTGCGGACACACCCCAGCCATATTATTCCGCATATGTTTTGATTTGCACCATAAGCCTGATAGCCGTGAAGCCAATGAATATTCCACGGTTGTAATTTTACTGAAATGATCTACACTCTCTGCTTATTTTTCGAGCATATTTTGGCATATTTTGGAATATCTTTTTGCATATCTTGCTAAGCCTTTGGCATATTATGGACGTTTTCCCTGATATGCGACGAGCATAATATGCTCTTTTTTTAGCATATTTGGTCGAGGCCTAATGTAGACTATAACAGCGATTACAAGCTCTGGTTAGGGACAGGCGGATTCTGCTCGAAAAGGTGGCAGATTCTGCTCGAAAAGCAGTGAAATTGGCAGAACAATAAAACCTTCAGGTGGGCAATTCCTCGAATTCTGCTCCATTTTTTTATCCATATACCAAACATGCATGAAACGTACCAGAAAAAGTACCGAATTCTGCCAATTTTTCTGCGGGCAGAATCCGCCGGACCCTAGCTCTAGGTGTCTGTCGACAACACCAGTACATGTATTCAGAATCCATGTCATTGTGTGATCCTGAGGAGTTGAAGTCTTCCGACACCCGTGGAGAATACAGTGTAGTAGTGCTGTACTGTATTGCATCAGGTGTTGTGTGGTGTACATTGACAGGATTGTATCATTCTGTACACGCATTGCTCGTTCCACTACATGCCGTCGCACATTCTTATCGTGTAGATCAGTTCTCCCTCCGATCGGATGCACACTATGTCATTCACGGCATCCAGAATAGCTCCAGGGCACCGCCATGCTCGCCTGGAATGGTCAGCTACATGTATGTATGTATAAGCATAGAGTCGACCTGCTTTGTACATTTGTATATGAAGGACCCAGAGATACCAGGAGACATACAATGCGAGTCACAAAGTCTCCTCCTCCCAAGGATACTGGACCAAACAAATGCAAGGACTAAGGAATTCGAGCAGGAAGCCTGCATGCATCCTTCATTCCCCAACGAGAAGCTCATGGATGTCTACTTTACCAAACTGCTCCCGGCATTCCGTTTCTTAGGAGGCACCGCTGGTGTCACCGTCCCCAACTTCCCTGAGGCTTCCAGGCAACTTAGGGTCAGTCGACGCCAGGAAAGACTCCAGCTTGGTGACTTTGGTGTTAAGTCCATCGCCTGAGGCAGGCATCGGCATCAAACCGAGAGAGAAGACCTTCCGTTACATTTTCCTTGTGCAGCGACTAGTTTGGCGTCTCACCACTTCCCCACTGTCGTGAAATGCCTGGCAAAACACGACTGTACACACCGCATGAAATCTAACTCCAATCCCGGTTAATAATAGCTAGTATTTTATGTGATATGCACGAACTGTCCAGTAGTGATAACACATGACACGCACAACTCGTGTTGGGAACCTACAATATGATTATGATATGCAAAATTGTGTTGACCCGGAGGTAACAGAGCAAAAAAGTGCACATCGCATCACAGGGGTCTGTTTGGGGATGTTCAAGACACACAATGTAGTCATTGTACATGTACATGTACATGTACATGTACAGTGGCTCACAATTATTGTACAAGTCATGTAGATCTACAGTACATGCCCTGGCCTGGGATCATGAACATGTAGATCTACAGTACATGCCCTGGTCTGGGAGCATGAACATGCAGATCTACAGTACATGCCCTGGCCTGGGAGCATGAACATGTAGATCTACAGTACATGCCCTGGCCTGGGATCATGAACATGTAGATCTACAGTACATGCCCTGGCCTGGGAGCATGAACATGTAGATCTACAGTACATGCCCTGGTCTGGGAGCATGAACATGTAGATCTACAGTACATGCCCTGGCCTGGGAGCATGAACATGTAGATCTACAGTACATGCCCTGGCCTGGGAGCATGAACATGTAGATCTACAGTACATGCCCTGGCCCGGGAGCATGAACATGTAGATCTACAGTACATGCCCTGGCCTGGGAGCATGAACATGTAGATCTACTGTACATGCCCTGGCCTGGGAGCATGAACATGTAGTTCAAACATATCACGTGCTTGTTGCCATCCGACGGCCAATCAGCATCGACTTGTACCAGGGCAGAAATTGTGTGGCCTACGGCATGGCAATGCCCTGCTAGCATGCTACGGAGTACGGTGACATCCAATGCCCTGCATCAAGAGTACATGAAAACCAGAGTGTGCAGCTCGGATGGGTTGCTGTCACGGCGAAATTCCGTGATTACATCATTTTAGTGATGTAGTGCGTACAAGCAGGATTCAAGCAGGTCTCCTTCTGCACAACTGCAGCTCAGTTGTACGCACTACGCCATTTCCCGCCTCAGATCTGCACCAAATATGATGTAATCACGGAATTTCGCCGTGACAGACACCCATAGCAGAGTAGAGCCCAAGCTGCACACTCTGGTTTTCATGTACTCTTGCCTGCATGCATGCAAATGCCAGGCTATGGTGCCATCTATCAGCCTAGCTCGGCAAGGGTCTGTGGCACTGGCAGTTTTTCGTTGTCAGCTCAGTTCGCATGTACATTCGACTGTGAACTAACGTTACTTGCTCTGGTAAGCGAAATAAAAGAGCATGCACCTATCTATCTGCTCTGAACTTAGCAAGCCAAAATAAGTAAAGTGGCAATCACCGGGGTCAGTTTTCCATGTTCGGATTCCAGCTGTTCCAGCTCCGTGCGCTCTCGGGCAAGCCCTCGAGCGCACGGCTGAAGTTTCGTTCTGAAGTTTCAGCTCACGAAGTATCAGCTCCGTATGCTCTCGGGCAAACTCACAAGCTGAAGTTTCGTTCTGAGCTCCGTACGCTCAAGGGCTTGGGAGCTGAAACTCACAAGCTGAAGTTCCAGCTCCGTTTCACCTGAAGCAAGGTGAAGTTTCGTTCTGAAGTAACCGTTAGTTTCATCTCGAGCAAGGTGAAGTTTCAGCTGCGTACGCTCTCGGGCAAGCCCTCGAGCGTACGGAGCTGAAACTCACAAGTAACGAGTTGAGTAACCGTTAGTTTCATCTCAAGCAAGGACATTAGGTGAAGTTTCAGCAGCCGTACGGAGCTGAAACTAACAAGCTGAATACTCCACGTCCCCGACCACCACCCCTAGAGGAGTCTCCCTTTTATACCTTCATTCCCCCGTGCTCAGTTTCAGCTCTGGAAGCTCTCGGGACATGCTGATCGGTGATTGGTGTTTGCTTGTTGATGTATGTGGTATGTTTGAAATACAATCAAGCATGGTAGGAAGGTCTTGATGGAAAATGCGTACCCTCGTGCGTAGCCCTCGGGCACTCCATGCCCTTGTGTGTACGCTCTCGGGCAAGCCCTCGAGCGTACACACGCGGGCATGAATTAATTATTTCCACCAAGCCCTTCCTTCCATGCTTGATTCTATACATCTACAGTACATGCCCTGGTCTGGGAGCATGAACATGAAGACTAAGACTAAGTAACGGTTTTATCCACTTCAAATAATGCCTGCACATTGTACTTGTTTCAACCAAGAACTCAGCAATCGTGTGCGTGTCCTGTCCTCAAATCTCAATTGGCACGCTACAAATGTCGGCAACAAAATAATGTGCTGATAAGATGGATGTGCCCTAGCGCGTTGACGGTAAGTCTGGCACATCTCATATCTACACATTGTACTGTCATGCACATGACTGTGTATCAAGCATCTGCAGAATGAATATGTTCTTACAATAAGAGATTGCGCGCACACAAGATATGAATGCGTGTATGTTTATGGGCGTTCGATCGTGTGTTTGTATGTGTGTGTATGCGCGCGTGCGCGTGTGTGTGTGTATGTGTGTGTGACGTGGGACCCCACTCGTATTGACTTTAGTAAACACACTGACCCTCAAACACTTGCTGCGCGCCACAATGCAGCCAAAGTCGCAAAAGGCCAGTGGGGTTATCTGGGCACGTCGAAACGAGAAGGCCAAGTACGCGATATAGCAGTATCCGGTTGTGTGCATGATAGCTCTGTCGCGGTTATTATCAGTAGTGATGCATATGTCATTCAGCACTGTTTCCTACCGCTTAAAAATGCTCGATATCAACATCTTCCGGTTGTTCTTCATGTAGACTATAACAGCGATTACAAGCTCTAGGTGTCTGTCGACAAAACCAGTACATGTATTCAGAATCCATGTCATTGTGTGATCCTGAGGAGTTGAACTCTTCCGACACCCGTGGAGAATACAGTGTAGTAGTGCTGTACTGTGCTACATCAGCTGTTGTCTGGTGTACATTGACAGGATTGTATCATTCTGTACACGCATTGCTCGTTCCACTACATGCCGTCGCACATTCTTATCGTGTAGATCAGTTCTCCCTCAGATCGGATTCACACTATGTCATTCACGGCATCCAGAATAGCTCCAGGGCACCGCCATGCTCGCCTGGAATGGTCAGCTACATGTATGTATGTACAAGTATAGAGTCGACCTGCTTTGTACATTTGTATATGGAGGAGCCAGAGAGACCAGGAGACATACAACGCGAGTCACAAAGTCTCCTCCTCCCAAGGATACTGGACCAAAAATTCAAGGACTAAGGAATTCGAGCAGGAAGCCTGCATGCATCCTTCATGCCCCAACGAGAAGCCCATGGATGTCAACTTTACCAAACTGCTCCCGGCATTCCGTTTCTTAGGAGGCACCGCTGGTGTCACCGTCCCCAACTTCCCTGAGGCTTCCAGGCAACTTAGGGCCAGTCGACGCCAGGAAAGACTCCAGCTTGGTGACTTTGGTGTTAAGTCCATCGCGTGAGGCAGGCATCGGCATTAAACCGAGAGAGAAGACCTTCCGTTACATTTTCCTTGTGCAGCGACTAGTTTGGCGTCTCACCACTTCCCCACTGTCGTGAAATGCCTGGCAAAACACGACGGTACGCACCGCATGAAATCTAACTCCAATCCCGGTTAAAACAGCTAGCATTTTATGTGATATGCACGAACTGTCCAGTAGTGATAACACATGACACGCACAACTCGTGTTGGGAACCTACAATTAAATTATGATATGCAAAATTGTGTTGACCTGGACGTAACAGAGTAAAAAAGTGCACATCACTTCACAGGGGTCTGTTTGGGGATGTTCAAGACACAATGTAGTCATTGTACATTATTGTACAAGTCATGTAGATTTACAGTACATGCCCTGGCCTGGCAGCATGAACATGCAGATCTACAGTACATGCCCTGGTCTGGGATCATGAACATCTAGATCTACAGTTCATGCCCTGGTCTGGGAGCATGAACATGAAGACATAAGACTAAGTAACGGTTTTATCCACTTCAAATAATGCGTGCACATTGTACTTGTTTCAACCAAGAATTCAGCAACCGTGTGCGTTTCCTCAATTCTCAATTGGCACGCTACAAATGTCGGCAACAAATGTTCTGATAAGATGGATGTGCCCTAGCGCGTTGACGGTAAGTCTGACACATCTCATATCTACATATTGTACAGTCATGTGCATGACTATCAAGCATCTGCAGCATGAATATGTTCTTACAATGAGAGATTGCGCGCACACAATATATGAATGCGTGTATGGTATGGGCGTGCGTGTGTTTGTGTGTGTGCGTGCGTGTGTGTGTGTGTGTGTGTGTGTGTGTGTGTGTATGGGTGAGACCCCGATCGAACTGACTTCGTTGGTGGCTCGTGTGAGGCACTGTATTTAGTATCATCTTCCGTGGTAAGATGATCAGGGTTGAGCGTCAAGGTGGGCGTCCATGCGCCCGTGCGTGTATATGTATGTGTACATGGACATGTATGTATGCGTGTGTGTGTGTGTGTGGTATGTTTGTGTATGTGTGTTTTTGTATGTTTGTGTATGTGTGTGTATGTGTGTGTGGTATGTTTGCGTGTGACCGTTCGAGATTTGATTGTATCACCGAGTAAGGGCGCAGTAACGCCATCGCTCACACCTAGGTTTAGCAGGTGGACTACCAAGTCGCACTCTGCCGCCGCGTTCAAGCCGACGCAGAAATCGATACTCCGGCGACGGGCAAACACAACGACATCACTGTCTGTAACATATATACTATGTCCTGGGATCACTGCCTCAGCTGCAACAAGCGAGTCAGGGGAGTTGGAGCCAATGAGGGCTCGCAGAGTGCGGGATCCACGGAGGCACATCACACTAGCACGGAGGAGGGCAAAGCGGAGTCTACAGCGGACCCATGCCATGACGGTGCTGTGAGGCTCGCTGGTCAGTTTATCAGCAAGCAGGCAGGCAATCCTCATGAATATCCACCATCCTCATCACGTCATCAATAATCACCTGTACTCCCAAACCAATAGCATCCCTATTACCTCTATTTGCAGAGAACGTCGACTTCTATGGTTTGGCCACGTTGTCCGACAAGGCCCAAACTCTCCATCATACCAGGCGCTGATGTCAGCCACTGACACCTCTGACATCAAGAAGCCACGTGAACGCCCCCAATGCGTTAGATCGACACTGTCCAAAAGGATCTCAAAAGTGTCGAACTTACCATCAGCAACGCCCAGAGTGCCAGACCCAAGCTCATGACCGTAAACAATGGCGAGAAACTGTCAACAGATGCGTTAGCTCATGCTTTGAGTGACATAAGAAACTGTATATTATAATATTCTTTGGTCGTGTGTGTGACAGGCGTATGATCGTGCTGTATAGAGACGATGGACTTGCCGCCGTCCGTAGTGTCGATTATCCGGGGCCACAACAACCGAATCTCGAAAGAGAATAGAAATGACCAGCAGCCGGCAGAGGCCAAGTCATGCAACTGCCGAATCAAGCCAGAATGCCCCATGCACGGGCAGCGCCTCGATAGCAGCATAGTTCACCGCGCCGATGAAATAGCGCCACAGTTGATAAGAAATTCTACTATGGCCTGCATACCGAGAACACGTTCAAGCAACGATACAACGGCCACCTCACCACATTCCGGCATGAGCTGCATGAGAAGAACACGGAGCTGTCCAAGGATGTGTGAAAGGTGAAGAGGGCAGGCAAGCCGCACCCAATTGCCTGGTCCACCGCTCGATCTGCAAGGGTTTACTCCAGCTCAAGCACGAGGTGTGATCTTTGCCTCACGGAGAAGCTCTTCATCGTCCGTGCAGACAAAGCCAGATGCCTCAACGAGCGATCTGAGCTTGTGTTGAAGTGCCGCCATGAGAAAAATATTACACTACACTGTGCTTGTCAAATATTGTCACCTGATCCTAGCAGAATATCGCTTAGTTAATAATAATTATACACAGATAACTAACACTTTCTCTCCACAGCTATAGACGTTAGGCCAGGTAACATCTCTTGTCAAGCTTTGCCACCTGATTCCACAAGAATATCACGTGACAATACACAGATAACGCTTTCACACACACTCTATATCGCGCTACATATCATATGGCAATTGTTATGCTGGGCTTGCCACATTCATGGTACATGTATTTAGCAGCACTCTCAGGGCAGGGTCAGTACCAATTTTCGTCTGATGATCGATTTAGTTCGTGAAACTCAGAATTACGAAATCGCAACTGCTCGTTCTTCTGTCGGTGTATTCCGCTCTTTGCCTTCGGAAAATTGAGCCCTCTACGGACGGTGGATGAACCGCACATGGAGATAAATAGACAGATATATAGAGAGGAGAGGAGAGGGAGAGAGAGAGAGAGAGAGAGAGAGAGAGAGAGAGATGGAGCTAGGCGTCAGGTTGTTGAATGTCTCAATACCCTTTTTCAATAATGTGCCTTGTTGTAGCACTATCTAACTGTATAAGATGTCGTTACCTTGGTGTACTGTAGTGTTAGTCATAACACGTAACTTATTGGTCTTTTCTCTTTACATTATAATATTGGCTCAACATTCGAGTTCTAAGGAAGCAAAATGCCGTCCCATAGAGCACGAGAGGTTGACGATACACCTGACTTGATAGTTTACCAGGTACATGTATGATGATGACAGCACATCACGACCAGGACAGGTAGTTGTGTAGGGTCTTTACAACTCCCTGGGCACAACAGAGGACAAATCGGGGGTTATCCGTGGCATGCCTCCACGCAGTTCACATAGTAGTCGGAGGACCGGGATCCTATACCAACCTGTCTCCAGTTGCAATCAGGAACACGGGTTTCAAGCAATGCACCTCCAGCAGGTGGTACCCTGTCATCAGGATACTCCAGTACATGTACATGACTGTACATGACTGAATACCATGTACATATTGTACAGGAACTTGTCAAATAATACTAATCACCAGACAGTTAGCTGTTTAGACATTGTTAGCCTAATGTTAGGTCTCCTCAGCAGAGCTCAGACGTAGTGGGGGGGGGGAAGATAGATAGATAGATAGATAGATAGAGAGAGAGAGAGAGAGAGAGAGAGAGAAAGAGAGAGAGAGAGAGAGAGAGAGAGAGAGAGAGAGAGAAAGAGAGAGAGAGAGAGAGAGAGAGAGAGAGAGAGAGGGCAGAGAATCAATGTCAGAGTGTTCTAACTACGATAAACACAGCGAGCTTTGCACGAGGGCATAATTATAACATTGACGCTAACGAGAAGGAGTGCTCAACCAAGCCAGGACGAGGGAGCGTAGAAATTCTGACGTAAGAATCTCATTTTCTTTGACTCATCTGGAAGAGAGCTGTGAGAATGTGTAGTTAACCCCTAAGATGATAAGATCATGCATGTATATGATTGTACAGGGCATATCAGAGAGTTGTAACTGAGGTATTTTAGTATTTTACCACTGTCTCTCGTTCATAATATTATTCATCTGGCGCATGACCAGGGCCCTGACAATTGGGCTCTGGGTGAAATGAGCAATACATAACCCTGTCCCGCCCAATCCACATGAAAGGCGCAGCTTTGAGAATCCATCCCCAATACACACAAGGTGTACACCACACGGAATATGTCAGAATGCAATCGACTCCACTTGTAGCGCACCCGCACGTAGCGAATTTCGTGATCATACTCATAGCGAATCAGAGTCCATGTCCCTGTTTAGACTCATACAAACAAAAGATCCCTTACAGTAGATCAAATAATTTTCGTTGATAAGGAACCACCATATCTCTTCATCTTGTGTGGCGGCATGCTAACTACATTGCCCGTCCTCCAGTGCAATGTCTCATATATTAAACCAATCATACTATCATGAGCTACATGCTGTGTTGCTTGTATGGTGTGAGTGCATTTCGGTTATAAAGAACCTGGCCTATAGAGAAGTAATTCTCCTGTACAATGGTATAGGTTATATCAGGAGTGGACTGTGCTATGGTCAAAACAGTACTATCTATACAGTATGGACGCAGTTCACGTTATGAGGTCACCGCTATACACAGGATACTGCATTAATGGAAGAAAACATTACAAACACTGCTACCTTGCACGTTATTTTCAACACTATCAACACACATACACACACACACACACACACACACACACACACACCCCCACACACACACAAACACCTTTGACCTTTCGACGCCTATCGCTGGAGGCGATGGTAGCGGTGCTACGGCAGAAGCCATAGCAACTTGTGCGGGGATTGCACCATTCAACAGCTTGCAAGGCTAAATAATTGACCGCAACTATTCAGCCTTAGTAGTGGTGCACACCACACAGGAATGAAGTGAGTTTTGTAGACACACACACACACACAAATACACACACACACACACACACACACATGCACACACACATGCACATACACGCACGCGGACGGGGTGCATGCGCGCGCACGCACGCCTGCGTGCACACGCGCGCACGCACACACGCGCACGCAAACACACACACACACACACAAGCACCATGTACCATGCGCACCAACCACGTGAGTGGACAGAATCAGTACAAGGAAAACGTGATATCGATGTGAACAATTCAAACTAACTGTTGCATAGATATCCTAATCATATGATTAATCTGCGAGAAAACAATCCAATAAGTAAAATTAAAAAAAATCAGAACTATTACAGCCTACATATAATATATAATGAACTCAGATGGAGAGCCAAGGATTAAAATGAAGAAGAAGGGACCAATGCAAAAATATATCCACCACAGGACAGATTTGTAATCTAGCAATTGCAAACGTTCTTTTCTGAG